ACAACCCCCGGGCACCCCTGGGCCGGGAACCGGCCGGCCGCTGGCCGCAGGGTCGGCGATGATCTTCGGTTACGGACAAGCAGTGAGTCCACAGTAAGCTGACAAAGGTACACACGCGCACGAGCGCGCACACACACGGGAACACCTCTTTCCATTTTCCAGGATGGGTTATTATTATTATTATTATTTTTTTTAATCCTTTTTTTTCCTTTTTGCAAAAAAAATGCAAGCAAAAGAGAAAAAAAACAAAAACAAAAACAAAACCCAAGGTTTTCTATTGAAGGTACATCTCTTCTTCAATATGAAGACATTAACTGGATTGAGTCGGATCCCCCATGCAGTGGTCAGCGAAGTCCTTTGGTAGTTGCCGGAGCAGCACCCGGGCAGGACGGCAGGGAGCTGCGGAGATGTCCGAGGACACTTCCACCCGGTCCATGAGCAGAGAGGAGAGCGGGGAGGGCCGGGGCAGGGAGGGAGGGCGAAAGACGAAAAAGAAAAGGAAGGTGGTTCCTCCGGACGGGACGCTCCGTCTCGTGCCTCTCCCTTCCCCAACAGCCCCTTCCTCCTTTCTCAGTTTCGACCACTGCTCACTGGTGGTGGGACTGGAGTTCTGGCCTCTAGGGTTTGGGTTTGCTTCCCCAACGCACATTGGTTTGTCTTCATTGTTTTTTGTGTGTTTTTTTTTGTTTGTTTGTTTTGCTTTGTGGTTTGTTTGTTTGCTTTTTTAAATATATGATTTGTACATATTTATATATATTTATACGCTGTTCCCCATGACATCGGTAAGTGTGCTTCTGTTGGTGAGGAACGGAAGTCACCAGTTCAAGAGATGAGTCCCAGGAACGTCCTTCGTCTGCGGTCACAGTCCCCAGGCAGCGGCGGCGCCTCTGCAAACGCTGCCCCGCGGCGCCCGTCAGTTCCTCCCCTCCCACCTCCGCCCCTCCGCTGCGTGCCCTCCCCGTCCCGTCCCCGTCCAACGAGGGACGTCATGCCATCGAGGTCGGCGACTGACTCATCTGTATTCGCATGGACTGGACGCTGTTCAGGATCTTCTTCTGGTGCCCAGCCAAAGTCACCCCTATTCTCAGGAGGTCTCTGGAAGACAAGACAGACAGACAGTGGGCAAGCTGAGGCTTGGCGTACCTGTTTTGCTGCCTCTGAGTGAGGTGAGGGATGCGAGCTCAGCTGGTCCGTGCCTTTGAGCAGAAGAACAGCCACAGAGCCCAAGCACAGCCCCGTGAGCACCATGGGACTGAGAGCAGGGAGACACCCGCACGCTGGTGGTCAACGTGGCCACCTCCAGACTCCGCTGCCCGGTGTGACGGATCCTCACACCCTTCATAGAATGGTTTAGGTTGGAAAGGACCTTGAAGATCATCGAGTTCCACCCCCCCTGCCATGGGCAGGGACACCTCCCACCAAACCTCCTTTGCCTTGCATCCACCTCACCATCTCCCCGCGGCCCCAACCCGCCCCGGGCAGCACCCAGTTTTCGGGCAGCCCCAACTCACTCGGACGTCATCTGGGCCACAAGCTGAAGGGAGGTGAAGCCAGCGGTCAGGAAGCTGTCCCGGTACTGGCTCATCTTCACGGCGCTCAGCCAGTCGTCTACTGAGGTAAAGGCAGTGAAGTCGGGGATGGAGCGGTCGAGGAGGGGCTGAGAAGGCCTGCAAAGAGGAGGTGCCGCTGGGGCCGAGGGGCTGCCACGCAGGAGCACAGCCACGCTCCCCAGTCCCTTCCCCTCGTCCTCCCCCCGGCGCGTGCCCGAGACGAGGCAGGGCGCCAGGAAGGCCCGTCCCCGTGGGAAAACCACTTTGCCAACCCCGCACGTTGTGATCCAGCGGCCGCAGCCCCCGGGGACGGAGGTGCCGGCAGAGCTGACGCTGCGCCCGCGCGGTCACACGCCATAAAGAATCAATAGCGGAGAATTATTGCTGTTTCCTCGACTGAAAACTACATGTTCTTTGTCTGACTGTCAGGCAGAGCAAAGACAACCCCCCAACACACACACCCGGCGGAGGATTTATGAATTCCTGTCCTTCCCCTCTCCGCCGCGGCAGCACGAGCCGCTCGGGGAGCCTTTCGCCGCGGCGCGGGACGCTGCCCAGGAGCGCATCC